TGTGCTCACCACTGAGGGCAGGGTGACCAAAAAAGAAAGAAGACACTTTCACAAAACACCATCATTCACACAATATCACTGTCTTTGTCAAAGTGCACCCCAAAGAGTATATATATAAAACCCTTACCTAATTATCTTAAGAGATGTACCAATTCTAATTTGTCTTATTAACCTGGTGAAAAACTGAAGAGAGGACTGTGAGGATCGTATTAAAATTCTCACAGGTCGAGGAACCAAGAGCCTCCCGGGGATCCTCCAGAGAACTTTATACGCCCGACAGCAGAGGGACGGTATAAATGGAGATGAAGTTGCCCCAACAATTAGGGTGCTTGGGAGCTTAGATGTAGTGTGGAATGCTTGGCACAAATGTGAAGTACAGGAGAAGACAATATTGGCATAACTGAACTATGCCTGCAAGAAGAGATATGCAATAATCAGTTATGTAAAATCTATAAAAATAAAAAAAAAATGATAACTGAATACTCAAAGTCTAAAAGGGGCATACAGTATTGTACAATAATTATTGAAGGGTCCCTCCTTTCGATGGGCTTGTAAATATGAGTCAGGTCCCATGGCAGCTAACTGTATATGGACTGCATATGGTAAAGAGTGGTTTTTTTCTTTTTGTTCAGTTCATCCTGGCCTCAGTGGAATTGGCCAGGTGTGTTTAAAAAAATACAAGAAGCCCTAAATCTGTATGGGGTTCATACTAATGGGGCCATGAAAGGGGATTGTAGCTTCATTTCCTTATATCAAAAGGGCCTTTCACTATCCCACATTGGCCCCATTCAAAGGTATTATGTCAGGTACGACTGTCAAAACAAGCGAGATTAGAGAAGAAGGGAATAAATAGAGTAGATTAAAACAAATACTGTACAGTATGAATTGAAAACTTAGTTTGATTAACATACCTCTGGATAATGTAATTGTAATTGTGATCGTGGCCGGTGTAAGGTGATATGGGCCAGCAGTCAACTAATGAAGGAGTAAGAGCCGCACAATCGTTAGATTATGTAGTTTCTTGTGTTAGTCTACCTGACAATAGGCAACAGTGTCCTATATATAGAGGAAATATTTTTTCAACCACTTAGAGAAATCAAAAATAATAAAGTCATTCATTATGGTGTATTTACAATAAAATTATCTTAAAAATCTGAAGAACAAAAATTTTTCGGCAAATATATTTTGAAAATATAATGATTTTCTTAATCGCAAGTAAACTTACTTCAGCCAGGACTGTCATATATAATACAGGTCATCAATATGGTTGGCTTCAGTTTTCATTATACTGACACCTTCCAATACATCAGACACGGTAAGAGCACTAAACCCTCTGGTATCAGTAACCGATGAGCATGCCTGATAAAAATTTCATCAAGAATGATCACTTGGGCACAAGTTTTTATACTGCCACGGAGGTAAGTTATTAACTTGCAGGGTCTTGGTACAAGGCATTCTGTGCAAGTTGTGGGTCACTTAATCCTTATATCTGTGAAGAATATGTTTTAGACAAAAGTTGTAAAATGGTGAATTTGTGGAGAATGAACTACAGCATGCATCATAAATGTGCATTACCCTACAGGGTGTTTTGCCTTTTGAGACATCTGCTTGACAGGAATTAAAAGAAATGCCATGGGCAGGCCTTTGCTTGGAAGATGGCAAAGCCCCCCTTGGGCCATAACTTGGTTGCCATAGACATAAAGAACAGACTAAATTACTGTTATTGAGATCTATACCTTATTGACTGGCCTGGAAACTCACAGGACCTAAATCCAAGATAACATTTAGAAACTTAATAAGTCATAAGTGGCTATATGGGCAAGGTGGACATTTAGTCTAACCACTCTAATAACCGCCAAAATCTAGAGTGGTTATTATGGGCAGTGTGAGAGAGTAGCGGACTTTTCTATCTCTCTCTATAAGTTAGCCTTAACAGTACCTATGAGACTTAATGAAGGTGAGGAGACACATGCAAATTTTCAGTATTATATGAATAAACATAAGGATGGGATGAGTGGACTGAACTCGGTTCGACATTCTATTGTCTTGATGCTACCTGGGCTTCTAATAGTAAAAAAACAGAAACGGGCAAAATTTATTGTATTAGCAGTCTGGTCGAGATACCAACTATAACCCAAACTGAAATCCACTCCCCACAGACCCAGGAACTTTAATAAGTAGATCTATGGGCTTACCCCCCCTTCAAGATCATATCAATATGGTGAGGTCATTCTCATGTTTCTGTGTTACCTGTTTAGCATGTAGAGTTTGGAACCTCCCACTCAAAAATGAGAACGTATCACATATCTAGAGGTTTTGGTTTTTTTTTTTTTTTTCGTTTCGAATAATAGGACCAATTTTTCAGACAAAATGAGTCCCTATTATCAATACGTGGCCCTTATTCTTCGGACTGGCCGCCGTGTAAGGACCTGTCTGGCCGCTCCAGGCTCTGTCCGGCGTCCTCGAACGCAGGGCGGCCGTGATGCATTCTAGCTTTGTTTTAAGTCTTGAGGTTGAACACTGAACCTGCGCTCTCATTCACGCATTTTATCGATTATTTCATTGTGTTTAGTAGTGCTTGTGGGACTTGTGAAAATAAGCTACCATGTGGGGCCCCAAAGAAACTTGCTAGTGGTAGACCGGAGCCTGTGGTAAAGAAAGTGAGTAACACGCATAGATGTGAAAAGGGAAATAAATAGCAAGAATATGAGAGTGGTGTGAATTTATTGAGTGCATGTCCTGCCAGGAATGTATGGAAAAAACAAAGTCGACCATCAGTTCTATCCTGTCAAAGAAAGAACAAATCAAGGAAGGCTGATGTTGGCGCGAAAGGTGTTAATATATGATGTATGAGTGCCTTCATCAAATATTAAGGAGATTGTGTCCTAGTGGAATGATGTCTCTAAAGTTTGTGGCGAGACATACCACCCTGAGCAAGCTGAAACAAGGCGCATCTTTGCAATAAGTTCATGACAGAACCATGTCCCATTTTAGGGAAATGAATAAAGAGGCGCCAGAAAACAGAGGACTGTGGGCAGTTATTTTTGCGAGACAGAGGGGTCCAGTGACTCTCAAGCTGGTGTCGCTAGAGGCAATGATAAGAGCAGAGAAAGGGAATAAACCGCAGAGGAGGGCTATAGCCTGAAATTCCTCATGGAGGGGGATTCTCCCTTCCAATACCCTAACCCCCATAACCCTCCCCTCCTCTCCTCCTCCCTATCTTCGCAGATGCATCACCCTTAATCTTTTCAATAAAGGTAAGTAAAAATGTTATTTTATATGTATTACTATACATAATTAAAAACTATAGTATTTGTTGTATGTAAAACTGTAATTAATCACTATAAAAATGTATTTTTATGTTGAATATTTTTGGGTTTCTGGAACGGTTAATTGTATTTCCATATTTCTTATGGGAAATATTGCTTCGAATTTGCTGACTTGTTTCGAATTTAAGAATAGCTCACACACTGGAACGATTAAGTTCGATTTTTGAGGTTCCAGTTTTTGGGTGGTGGGGGGGGGGGGGGTCTTAGTAGCATATTTATGACATCAACTAAGACTAATCTACCTAAAAATGAATGTAGTGTTTAAAAAGCTTCTATACTTTAATTTATGATAGAAACAGTATCAAGTGAAAACTTATGCTCTTCAGTTAATGTATTTAAGTCATGTAGTTTTGCGAACTCTGGGTTTCAAAATAATTATTTTTGGAGGAGTTCGCAGATAGGAAATTGTAATGATTACCCATATTTCTGGCTAATAAGGAGGCGGCCTTTTTCTCTGCCACGAAAAGCTTGGAAAAATCACTCTGTGCCTTATATGCTCAAAGGTCAGAGTTAAGGGTAGGCTTTTCGGGGTTATGTTTGTGAGAATGATGTAAAAGGGTAATCATCCCTTGAACATGATTAACTGATTTACCATTATGATACTTCAGTTTTGGGCACCTGTATACACTGGAAAATACAGTACTTAGTCCTTGGAGCAAGTACAAATAGTGAAGTTTCATCTGTTTCGTGCTCAACAGAGACGGAGGAATCAAGGCCTCTGCCACATCTATGAGCTGAATAAACGCCACAATGGGATTAGGCAGCTTAACATGGGAATTATTAAATTAAAATTGTAGCTGTTATTAGTATGGAATGAACACTTGATAAATATTAATTTCAAAGAACAAGACTAAAAACCTTGTGCAGATCAGGGCCCAGAATGTTAGTTGTACGCTTCGTTGTAGTAAAGAGGAACATTCTTGAGGCTAAGAACTGCATGATACATCCAAGAGTCGCTTGCCAGATGGAGGGGGCGGTGGGAAGATAACCGAATACCTGTCGTAAAGGAAGAAGGTTTGGCCAAGTATTTTTTGTATAGACCTCGACTGAACAGGCTGCCGCCAAATCAGCTTCAACATCTATACACATGGAAAAAATACATAAAAGGAAATGAAAAGTGCCACCTTAAATTGATTAGTGTTAAAAAAAAGGGGGGGGGGGGGGGGGGGGGGTGTTTAATCAAGACACACTAGTTGATACAACCAACTGTGATGAGTAAAGCAAAATTGCCCCAACCCTTGTGTACATAAGGCAAGAAAATTACCAAAGAAAGTGAAAAAGAGGACGAGCAAATGTGTGTTAAAGAGGTTAGAGAGAGAGTCAGAGAGAGAGAGAATTGCAGTTGGACATATTAAAATGAAAAGAGGTCAATGCATGAGAGAATAAATAACTGGAATGAAAGAAAAAAGTGTATTTCATATCTCAGTGCAGTGAATATCTCAAACCTATACTGTGTAATATCATAGCCTCACCTTCTGCGAGTAATGACATGAGCTCCAAATTTCAATAAAAACCTCTCTAAGAAACATTTTTATCAAAAACATATCCAAGATTAAAAAACTAAATCCAACACAAGAGTTCTTAAAAAATTTCTTTCTCCGTCTTAATTGAAAAAAAAAAAAGTGAAATGCTGAAATGGATGCCAATTTTTTTCTTTTGCATAGCAGTTACCTATGATGAGTTCCAAAGAATTTTTCTACATGCCAGAGTCCTGACCTTGGTGCCAGGCTTGTTCTGTGGTGTAGGAAAGTGCTATCAAACATTGAAATCTAAAAAATAATATAAAATATATAATATCAATATAAAAAAATATTCTTCTTCTTTTCAACACAACGCAGCTGTATTCCCACGGGGGCCGAGTCGGTGTGGCCCAAAAAGGCAAGTGTGGCCTAAAGGCAAGGTGGCCCCAAAAGGCAAGGTGGCTCCAAAAAAGGCAAGGTGGCCCAAAAAGCGCAAGGTGGCCCATAAGGTAAGACAAAAGTTTCTCTCCTTTTGCATTCAGTAATATATACAGAGAGGGGTTACTAGCCCGCTTACTTCTGGCATTTTAGTCAGCTTCTTAAGACACGCATGGTTTAGGCGGAGGAAGAATTCTGCTTCACTTCTCCCGTGGAGAATATAATAAAAATAGTATATAATAAAAATATTTATTATAAATTTTTTTTTTTTCAACAAGCGGGATGGGGTGGCGGGGGATCCGTCTACCCCCACCGAGGCAAGTGTGACCCAAAAAAGAAAGAAAATCCCAAAAAAGAAAATACAGTGGACCCCCGGTTAAAGCGATATTTTTTTACTCCAGAAGTATGTTCAGGGTGCCATGTATACTGACCGAATTTGTTCGCCATAAGAAATATTGTGAAGTATATTAGGTCGCAATTGCAAGACCCCCCCAAACATACAGTACAAACGCACTTACATAAATACACTTACATAATTGGTCACATTCGGGAGGTAATCGTTATCGGGGGGTCCACTGTACTTTCACATTCATTCAACAATTTCACCCACACTCACACATTATCACTGTATTTGGCAGAGTGTTCTCAGAATACAAACAGTTTAGAAGCATACACATATAAAAGATACACAACATGATCCCTCCAAACTAGCCAAATCCCAAACCCCTCCTTTAAAGAGCAGGCATTTTTACTTCCCATTTTTCCCCGGAACTCAAGTTCCAACTATATGAAAATAACTGTTTCCCTGAATCCCATCACTAAATATTACCCCGCTCCAACCTCCAACAGATCGACAGGTATCCCAAGTACCATTGCGTCTCCATTCCTCCTATCTAACACGCTCACGCAGAATCGCTTTGCTGGAAGTCCTAAAGGCCCCTCGCCCACAAAACGGAGCGACCTTTACCCCCCCTCTCTCCAACCCTTTCGAGACGACCCCTACCCCGCCCCAGCGCTTCCTTCCCCTAATATATTTATATATATATATTTTTTTTATTATCACGCTGGCCGATTTCCCACCAAGGCAGGGTGGCCCGAAAGAAGAAAAAGCTTAAACTTCACGGCATCATTCACTCCATCCCTTCTTGCCAGAAGGGTGGCTTTACACTACCGTTTTTAAAGCTGCAACATTAACACCCCCCTTCAGAGTGGCAGCACTGTACTTCCCATACTCGCAGGACTTAAGTCGGCGGCCTGGCCGGTTTCCCTGAACACCTTTCATAAATGTTTACTTTTGTCTCACACTCCCCAACAGCACGTCAAGTGATTAAAAACAAAACCATTTGTCTCCATTCATTCACTCCATATCAACACGCTCACGCATCACCTGGGCTGGAAGTCCAAGCCCCTTCGGCAACAACCACAAAACCGTCCTTTATACCACACGCCCCTCTCTCATCTCCAACCTTTCCTAGGCCTACCCCTACCCCCCGCCTTCCTTCCTCTAAGCAGACTGATATGCACTCTTGAAGTCATTCGGGGGGGTTCGCTCCATTCTCTCTACATGTCCGAACCCCTCATCTAACCCTTTTCCTCAGCCCTCTGGACAAACAGTTTTTTTGTAAATCCCGCACCCCTCCCTAACTTCCAAACTACTAATTCTCTGCATTATATTCACACCACACATTGCCCTCAGCCATGACATCTCCACTGCCTCCAGCCTTCTCCTCGCTGCAACATTCATCACCGCTTGCTTCACACCCATAAAAGAGTGTTGGTAAAACCTATACTCCATACATTTCCCCTCTTTGCCCTCCAAGGACAAAGTTCTTGTCACCACCGATATAAATATAATAAAATATAATTTTCATATAGTCAGGACTTGAGTCCTGGAAATGGGAAGTACAATGCCTGCACTTTAAAGGATGGGTTTGGGATATGTCAGTTTTGAGGGATTGTTTGTGATCTTTTATACGTATATGCTTCTAAACTGTTTTATTCTGGCACCACTGCAAAAGCCGTGTAATGTGTGAGTGTGGTGAAAGTGTTGAAAGATGATGAAATATTTTCTTTTTGGTGATTTTCTTTCTTTTTTGGGGGTCACCCTCCCTCAGTGGAGACGACCGACTTGTTGAAAAAAAAAAAAAAAAAAAAAAAAAAAAAAAAAATTAATATATAATATATAAAATATAATATAAAAAATACAAAATGGTAGTAGGTTGGGTAGACAGCAACCGCCCTTGAGGTACTACCAACCTGCCAAGTTGGAGTGTAAAACGGAATCCTGTAAACTTGAATTTACATGAAGGTAGGATTCTGTGTCCTTTTTTCTGTCCGTTAAACATGCAAAGTTTCATGTATGTCTTGCTACTTTCCTACCTTACACTTAGGTCACAGCTACACTTACATGTACAAGCAAATATATACACACCCCTCCTGGGTTTTCTTCTATTTTTCTTTCAAGTTTCTTGTTCTTGTTTATTTCCTTTTATCTCCATGGGAAGTTGAACAGAATTCTTCCCAGTAAGCCATGCGTATTGTAAGAGGTGGACTAAAATGCTGCTGGGAGCAATGGCCTATTAACCCCTTTCTCCTGTATAAATTACTAAAATTTAAAAAGGTGATAAGACTTATTTCCTTTTCTGTTTTGGGCCACCCTGCCGTGGTTGGAATACGGCCGGTTTGTTAAGAAAAAAAAAATTAGATATACAATAATCACACATAAAGTGGGGAGCTGTCACATTTGCTTCTTTCGCTGATGACCTGTGCTCTTGGAGATTCTGAAGAGAAGCTTGGCTGAGATTGGTGGTGAATTTGGGTATGGAGGTGCAAAAGAAGAAAATTAAAGCGTTATATTGGTGCAAAGGTGACATTAAAAAACAAATATCAAGGCGGTTGACAGACAGAACCCGCTATTACTGTAGTGTATGTTCCTTGGCATTGTGACAAGTTCATTTACAATGTGGTCATAGAACGGAAACTCCGTCATTAAATGAGGAGAGGCTGTGCTGTTACATGAGTAATAATTCTGGTTGGGTGGGAAAGAGGTATTGGAATGTCCCAGGAAGAGTTTGCTGAAAAGGAAGCAAGTTTTGATTGGGAAGGATCTGATCTTCGCAAGGAAGTATCACATGTGAGTGTCAGAGACAAGGGTTTTATTTGTCATGCTCTATGAAGGGAATCAGGAAAAATGATTAGCCCCAAACATGAATAATTGACTGTAGGAAATACAGTGTAGGTTGTCAGAGGATTCAATGGAATAGTGGATAACTGCGTGCACTTTTGGAAGACAGTTATTGAATGAGTGATTGGAATGTATGCTTTTTCTTTGGATCTACACCCTACCCTTGGAATGAAATAACCAATGTGATAAAAAAAAAAAAAAAGTAAGTTATGTACGGTACTAAGAAAATGAAAATGAAACGGCAGCAGTTTGTTATGCACAAGATGTTGTATACGAGATACTGGTATTCGTTAAAAATATGACATGATGCTCCCTTCTATACTCAATAAAATAAACAAATACTTTATTATACTCTTACACCATAACATTTAAAATGGATCAATTAAAAAATACGAAGTTAAATGCCAAAACTTACTTTGGCTGAGAAGACAAGAAGAAAAAATGGCGCCATAAGTGTGTGAAATGGCCTTAGATTGCAGCTGTCGCAGGAAGTTACCCTGAGGACAAAGTGGGGGCCGCTAAGAATCTTAACTTAGGTTGAGTCCAGACTTCCAAATTCCAACACTTTATGATGGAGTCTCACCTGCAAAACGAATACGTTTTATTAAAAAATCCATTAAGAGGTCAATGTCTCATTTGATTCAAAAAGCACGAATCGCAATTTTTTTTTTAAGTGCACACAGGCTGGCCATCTCCACACAGGCAGAGTGACCCAAAACAGAAGCAATTTCACATCCATCATACACACTATCATGTGTTGCCAGAAGGCCAGCGAGCAATACAACTTTTTCTATGGTTAAATGCTAAAAGCAAAATAACGCCAAATCCCTCCTATTAAAAGTGCTAGCAATTGTATTTTCCCATACAAAACATCTACCTCTCTCACACTCCAACAGCTTTTCACGTTCCTCAAAAATCATTTGTCTCCCACTCACTATCTAACCACACACACCACGAATTCTTGCTGTATGTCCAAGCCCCTTGCACACAAAACCTCTCCTTTACCCCCTCTCTCCATCCTTTCCTAAAATGACCCTTACCCCTCCTTCCTCTCCACCTCAGATTTATACAACCCTCCAAGTCATCCGCCCCTCACAGGTGCTGTATAATCCGCATGGGTTTAGCAGCGTTCCCCCATGATAATAATAATCTGTCCTAAGTGACCAAAACCACCTCAAAGACAATACAAAATGGATTAAAAAGGCAAAAGATGCCGGCATGTATTGTTGTACAAGAAGAAACACATTCACTGTCATTCAGTCAAGTCACTGCCTTACCACAAGTTTGGGCTGCTGTCTACACGTCAGCAATTATAAGTACCACATTACCTTATTTTGGCTGTGTAGCTCATTTTCCTGGGTAGCGGGGGGGGGGGGGGGGGGGGGGGTTTGTGCCATTGGCCAGTACAGAGTGAGTGATAAACAGTAAAGGCACAGAGAGGTAACCTTGCCACAAATCAAGAAAGACCAAAATGCTTCGATTTTTTGGTCTTTTTGGCTCACGTGGTGAACAACACAATTTATATTATACTTCTTCCAAGTTCTCATGTTCTACAAGAAAAATATAAAAAGATATAAATGTGTGCTGTACTTTCAATAATAAAAAGAAATACTCAAAATACTCTTGCATTAAAAAAAATTTTGATTATTAGGCCACCATGACCAAATTACAAATTGAAGAACAAAAA